CGACTCACAAGCTTCAGACGCCCGAGCTCGCCCCTGGCGTGAGGGGGGCACGGGGCGCCGACCGAGGCCTGTCTTTACAAAGGCTGCAAGTGATGATGAGTGCTATGGTCCTCAAAACCCCCAAAAAATGACTAAAATTGCAATGATATTTTCTACTGTTAGCTAATTATATCGATAAAGGGACCCCCCAATGACGTGACTACAGTATTCTCATCATTTACAGTAATATAATTTACTCATCTCTGTTTGAGACCTGCAACTCTAGACACGCCCGACAGATCCTCCAGGTCAGTTTACTAACAATCCTCCCATTCAGTTTACTAACGATGGGGACAGAACTTGCTTAAGGAGCCGGTAAAAAAGGAAGAAAAAACCGTCCTAAGAGTGGGTTCACCCACAGGGAAAATAGAAATGAAAAATATATAGCAACACCAGGAGAACCCTGTGAGCTCTGTGAGCTCCTTTTGCACGACTCCTCTGACCTTGGGCGATGAAGCCTCCGTCGCCCCGGAGGGCCAGGCCACGAGGTCGTCTCTGAGCAGCGTGAAATGGATCCAAGTATGGACCACACCAAAAAAGTTCTCAAGACCCACAAACCTAAACACATCCAAGTGGATGTGTTTATATAGATGATAGATGATGATAGATGTAAAACAAGGAGAAACAAATCCAAGAAAAAAAACATTGAGTGGGGGGCCGCTTGTCCACCCTCCTTTTCTTTCTTCACGCCACCCTCCCCCATCGTCTTCACCTCCCTTGCGCTCTGTAATCACCGCTCTTCACCGCTTGGCCTCCAAGAACTCCGCTGACTCGGGCATGCAGCGCCGGCCCACGGTGGCCTCCGGTGGAGCGCTGCAAGCGGAAGGCGCAACTGCCAACTCCACCGAACTCGGTCTCTTCGTTGTCTTTTTGGGGTTTCAATTAGCGATGGCCTCCAACCTAATAGCGATGGCCTCCAACCTAATAGCAGAAATTCATGGGAGAACTGCCGACTCCACCGAACTCAGTGAACGGGACCAATCCGGCTCGAAGCGACCACGGTCGCTGGGACCTTTTTTTTGAGATGGACACGAAACCTCAAGTCATCGCTACGTGGATCGTTATCGCCACGATCTTCGGATGGACCGATCGATCCGCAAGATCTTGTGACCGATCGCGAGCAGACGACTGATGGCCGGGGAAGCGACTGACGTCGGACAGTGCGGTCGATCCGAAACCATGGCCGTTTCCCAATCGAACAGCAGTGCGACCGTTCCCCACGTGCCCAGTGTCTGCAAGTAAGGCACAATGATTCCAGGGATGGCCGTGATCAAGAATGGCAGCCGCCATCCCCAACTCTCCATTCGTTCCTGCCGCCCCCCCCACTCAAGCACAGCGAGCAGAACCCGTGCATTTCATTCAGCCGATTGTTCGCACCAAAAGTCATCCCTCTCTATATATTGTTGTTTTGACTGATACATCTAAAATGGGCGGCCAAAAAAACAGGTATGAGCGGTTCTGTCAAACGTTGAGTTGAGCTCACCCTGTTTTCAGTACAGTACCAGTTGTGCCAGGTACTAGTCTGACCGCCACCGGCGTGACGGGCGAGCCGGCCTGACCCAGCAGCTCCAAGCCATAACTCGCAGATTGTGCCAAGAGAAAGCCGATGCTGGCGGTGATTCCAATCCTCAGGGGATGGGAAGGTTCCCGTCAATAGAATTGAAAAATATTGAAAAGGCGCCAAGACATGACTGGAAGTTGAAGATGAGCTGCGAAAAGGCATGTGGGCCAGAGAAGTAGACTTCACTTGGGGACTGCATCAGCTTCGAAAGCACATGCACGCCTTCCTGTCGCCCCCCGAAGAAAGAAGACGTACTTGATCAAGTTTGGCGATCTTCGGCTGATGTAGAATTGCTTTGAAAAGGCTTGTTGGCCCTGTAAAAAGATCTGTGCTGGCGATTTGGGACCCCGAAAAAAGCCAAAACAAATACTGCGACGTGTCGGTGAGCACAACATCATCGACCGGTGGGCACCGTCCAAGGCACAACATCATCGACCGTGCCAGTGCGTCTTTGGACCCCACCTGGCCATGGCTCAAAAAGCAAGAAATATATCGACACACCAAATAAAACCACACCAACCACACCCGCAACACCCACACGCGCGCGCGTGCACCAAGAAGCACCCTAAAAAAAGGAGAAGACCAAGAAACGGAAAAGAGTTCGGAAAAGAAAGTGGGATTCGATCCGGTGGATCCGTTTTCCCGTCCATCAGGTCATGTGAATCCTCCCCTCATCCACCCACCTCTGTGATGTAGGTGGACACGGCTGCGATCTCACCACCTGCCGGCGAGTGAAGGAGATTCTTCTTCCCCAAACACTCCATGTATAGCATTTACATGCATTTACCTCTATATTTGGGGTGGTTGAAAAGGGATGGATTCCTGGATGTTGGCATGTTTTCGGAGAAAAAGTAAAAAAACAGTTCCAATCTATTCCATACATGAAGTCTCTGGGCTCTGAGGAATTGGGCTCCGAACCAGTGGGAACCCTCCAATGGCACCAAACCCTCGAGTCAGATTCACGCGATGCATCCGCCAGGACCCCCCCGGAGGACTCTAGGATTCTGGGTGTTTTTTCCCCACTCGTCCGATTGGGGAGAGCCGTTTTCAGCGGAGACGTGCCACCACTCCGTAAGATATGGGGGGAGACGTGGCTTGGTCGCGAGACGTGCCGTTTCCCCCTCTAAGTGAGACATTTATTTGATATGATATATCATATCTTAATTTTGATGTTTGATTTATCTTTTTCCCACCCGTGATCTTGTTGCAGGGCGTCCGTGGGTGGGGTGCCAGGCACCAAAAAAACAAACAACATAAAGAATTGATAAAGGCATGGTCAACAAAGCAAGCCCCCTGTCCACCCGGGAATCAAAACCAGAAAAAGAAAAACAACCTCTCCAGAGCATGGAGACCCAATCTCCCTGTCCGCACCTGTGCATATGCCCTGCAGCAATCGCAGCAAGACCAACAAAGTCAAGCCTAAGAACGAGTATACTCTGTCAGCAAACACGGGACCCACGGCTGACTTGCACAACGAATCTGATCATGACACAAGCGCCTCAAAGTTCCCCTTTCCACAACTAAGGGGGTTCATGGTTCATGTGCCTTTCCCATGACCCTGAACAAACCTGTCTGCCTCGACACCTTCCGTGACGCCTCTCAGCTTCGCATTCTCCGTCTTCGGCACCAAGACCGAGTCGACACTTGGAATGTGACAATTCTGCCGCTGACCCGTCCAAAATGTGTAGCATGTCTGTACCCCTTATGAAATCCCATTCTCATACACTGGGGAGGACCTGGGCTCAGGGCCAGACCTACGAAGCCCGGACCCGGACCGCCGTCCGAATAACTTCGAACTTCAACTCGTTCAGCCAGGGAACCGATGGTGCCCGACACGTCGCCATTTTGGTATGTGGGCAACAAGCCTGGCGATGGTATGTGGTGCACTGGTCTGTGACGCTTCTGACCGTCACTGGCAGTGACTGGGCGGCGGGATGTTTTTTCGGTGATGAGATCACCCTCAGTGACTTTTGCCACTGATGAAGGATGATGAAGGCATTAATAGGTAAGCACTTTGAAGAAGCAAACACGGAAAGACTGGTCAGTCTTGTCTTACCCTACCCTTGGTATCCCTTGGTCCTCCTTCACCCTTCACACTGAACCCCTCTTTGCTCGGTCAAAAAAGTGCAATCCTCACAGCCAGGAGCGGCAAAATGCCTTGACCCACGGTGCCAACCATCATGCCGAAGATCGACAAGAATGTCGAAGCCTGGCGGTCGACCAGCCGCTCCCCGGTCGAAAAGAGTGTGAAGGCATGTGAAGTCAGATTGTCCAGCCGAAAGAAACATGCGCAGGGAGCCCTCATCCAAAGAGATTCTCTAAGACAATAATAGCAGAAACCAAACGCAAAGGTAATAAGCAGATCAAGCCCCACACCAATACGACCACTCCGGTCTTTTCACCCAGACCCTTCCAGTTCTAAGGACACGGATGGATGGGGTGCCTCGACCCCTCTCACACATGCCAAAACGTTCGCACCAAGCACCGTCCCACGACCCCCCCCGATGTCGCGCCTTTCGGCCGAAGATGTCGCCCACCACGCCCAAGACCAGCCCGCCAAAGGGTCGCGCCACAAAGGTGCAGGCGAAGCCCAGCCAGGTGGACACCGCCGAGCCGTGGAAGAAGTTTTCTCGGCCGAGCCGCGCAAGACGGCGGCCAAAGCCGGGATTGGGGGGGACCCTCCACGGGGAGGCCAGGCAGGTTGCGGGAGGGGGGAGAAGCGGCGGCTGGAGACATGGAGGTGGTAATTATATGAGTGGGAGGGAGGCTTTAACAAGACTATTGGAGAATGACCAATCTTCGGGAGTGTTGCCAGCTTTTTTTTGTGGACGTCCGGAGATTCCATGGTGCTCTTTCAGAGCTCCACGTCGAAGCCAAGCGACTCTGAAAGTAGGGCTCAAGAAAGCTAAAGACGGCATACTCATACCTGGCAGACTGGCGCTGAACGCCGAAGGCCCAGTCAATCACCCAGTTCCGGAGGTCTGCCTTTCGGGCACACCCTGGAATCGGAAGCTTGGACAGTTGGACCCCTTGGATGAGCATGAAATCCTCCACAAACATCGAACCAAACAGCACCTGGAATATGGCAATTGAAATCCTTTACACAGGAAATGGTTGAGTGGGGAAACATCCATTTCTGTCTGGTTGTTGGGGGTTCCAGGTACGTTGGATGACCCTTGAACCCTT